GAGGGAAAATATCCATTTTTGCACAGCTGCCTGTTGGAGTTTTTATCACACTCTAAAGTGAAGATATTTGAGGGGCAAATATTTTTTTTTCTTATGGTGGAGCCTGGAATGGAATTGTAGATGGCTTCCTTTCCTTTTTTATTTTAATTTGATTTCTTTTCGCCAGTAAGCAACATGCAATGCTGGCGAAAAGATTCACCTCTGAATGCCCTTTGTTTTAAGGCTTTTTATCGGAGTTCAGAAAAAAGGAGTTCGGGAAAAAAGACTTCTACCAAAGCAAACACCTTTGGAGTTCTGACTTGATGGATCTGAATTCTCTGTGTGCTTCCATAAAATATACAGCTGATAGAGTCGGGATGTCAGTGGGGGGGAATTGAACCTCTGATATTAGGGGTCAAAGCCTTGTCTGTCTACTGCATAAAATAACTGTTCTCAGAGAGTAGTTATTAATGGTTCACAGTCATGCTGGAAGGGCAGAACACGTGGGGTTCCGCAGGGGTCTGTTTCGGGACCGGGTCTGTTCAATATCGATTTGGCATAGAGAGGACGCTTATTCAGTTTGCAGATGATCCCAAGCTGGGAGGGGTTGCGAGGGCTTTGGAGGAAGGGTCATAATTCAACATGATCTGGACAAACTGGAGAAATGGTCTGATGTAAATAGGATGAAGCTGAATAAGGACAAATGCAAAGTGCTCTATTTAGGAAGGAACAATCCATTTCACACACGAAGAATGGGATACGACTCTCTAGGAAGTAGTCTTGCAGAAAGGGATGTAGGGGTCAGAGTGGATCACAGAATACTAGGACTGGAAGGGAAGGGACCTTGAGAAGTCATTGATTCTAGTCCCCTGCCCTCATGGTAGGACCCAGTACTGTCTAGACCATCCCTGATAGATATTTACATAATCTACTGTTAAATATCTCCAGAAATGGAGCAAAATGCAGGACAATGTAGCACTTTAAAGACTAACAAGATGGTTTATTAGATGATGAGCTTTCGTGGGCCAGACCCACTTCCTCAGATCAAATAGTGGAAGAAAGTAGTCACAACCATATATACCAAAGGATACAATTTAAAAAAATGAACAAATATGAAAAGGACAAATCACATGGCAGAACAGAAGGAGGATGCGGGGGGGTGGGAAGGGGGAGGAAGGAAGGTAAGTGTCTGTGAATTGCTGATATTAAAGGTAGGGAGAGTGGGATGTTTGTGAGTTAATGGTATTACAGGTGATAATTGGGGAAACTGTCTTGATAATGGGTGAGAAAGTTCAAAGACTTGTTAAGTCCCTGGTGGTAAGTGTCGAATTTTAACATGAATGACAGTTCAGAGGATTCCCTTTCAAGTGCAGATGTAAAAGGTCTTTGTAGCAGAATGCAGGTGGCTAAGTCATTTAGAGAGTGTCCTTTCTGGTTAAAGTGGCAAGAAACTGTTTTCTCTTTGTGATCTTGTCTGATATCTGTTTTGTGGGCATTAATCCTTTGGCGAAGTGTCTGAGATGTTTGTCCAATGTACATAGCAGACGGACACTTTCGGCACATGATAGCATAGATTATATTTCTGGATGCGCAGGAATATGTGTTCTTGATCTTATAACTCACTTGGTTAGGTCCAATAATGGTATCAGCAGAATGAATATGTGGACAAAGCTGGCAACGGGGTTTGTTGCAAGGGAAGGTACCAGGGTTGGTATTAGTGTGGTATGTCCTGTGGTGGTTGGTAAGAATCATCTTGAGGTTAGGTGGTTGTCTATAGGAGACTATGGGTCTGTCTCCCAGAGCCTCTTTGAGTATGGTATCCTGTTCCAATATAGGCTGTAGTTTATTGATAATGTGTTGGACAGGTTTAAGTTGGGGGTTGTAGGTGATGACAAGTGGTGTTCTATTGTTGGTTTTCTTGGGTCTGTCTTGAAGTAGATGGTTTCTAGGTATTCGTCTGGCTCTTTCAATTTGCTTTTTTATTTCTCCGGGTGGGTAGTTGAGGTTTATAAATGCTTGGTAGAGATCCTGAAGCTTCTGGTCTCTGTCAGTGGGGTTAGAGCAGATGCGGTTGTATCGAAGGGCTTGGCTATAGACGATGGATCGTGTGGTGTGTTCTGGATGGGAGCTGGATGCATGTAGGTAACTGTATGAGTCAGTGGGTTTTCTGTAGAGAGTGGTGTCTAATTTTCCATTGTTGATTTGTACGGTGGTGTCCAGGAAGTGGATCTCTCGTGTAGAATGGTCCAGGCTGAGGTTGATGGTGGGGTGTAGGTTGTTGAAATCTCTGTGGAATATCTCCAGTGTTTCTTGGCCATGTGTCCAGATCATAAAGATGTCATCGATGTACCGTAGGTAGAGGCCATTCACTATGTCAGGCATTCCATCATCAGACTTCTCGGTGAAGACTGAAACAAAGAACTCATTAAGCATCTCTGCCATTTCCAAGTTTCCTGTTACTGTTTCCCCCACCTCACTGAGCAATGGGCCAACCCTGTCTTTGGTCTACCTCTTGCTTCTAATATATTTATAGAATATCTTCTTGTTTCCCTTTATTCCTGTAGGTTGTTGGAGCTCGTTTTGTGCCTTTGCCTTTCTAATCTTGCCCCTGCCTTCCTGTATTGTTTGCCTATATGATGATCCAGACAGTGCTGGGTCCTGCCATGAGGGCAGGAGACTGGACTCGATGATCTCTTGAGGTCCCTTCCAGTGCTAGAATACTATAATTCTATGAGCTAAAAGCCAGAGGCAGCTTAGATAAGGCTGTAGGATAGATTTCACTGTCCTTTCTTTAGTGGTCTCAGGGACTCGGTTGCATAACTATGCATCAAGAAATTACACCCTAAAAGAGACAAAAAAACACCCAGGAAATCACCACTTCTCTGTGTGGCTACTCCTGGCTCCGGACTTTCCCCGAGGAGCAGATGTTGGGTGTTGAGTTCTGAGGGGGTGGCCAGGAGCTGGATCAAGAGGCCACTGGACCATCACTGAGCCAGGGAGGAGCTGGATGGGCGCTGAGCTGAGGGCAGCCGGGAGATGAGGCTGGGGACCACCGGAGCCAAACCTGAAATTTGGAAAAAAACAGGAGGGGATTGACAAATGGTTTAATCGTCCATATCTGTACTTGGATCACTAGAGAAACAGGACCATCCAACCCCAGAGGGGGAAGGACCAAGGGCAGAAAGAGCAAAGTGCCTGCCCGTGGTGGGACTTGAACCCACAAAGCCAGGTTGAGGAGGCTTCTGCCTTCATCCATACCTGGGTTGCCTTCTCGCAGTTGGATACCCAGCACTTAGCCTTGAGGGTTGGCTTCAGAAGGTGGGAGGGTAACACTGAGTGGCAGAGAAGTTTACAAATATTGGTGGGATCCATTGATGGACACGTGAGCCCTGGTTTGACTTTGTTCTTCTGCTTCAACCGCGGCCCTTTTTCAATTGTTTCTAGGTCCCACCATGGCGGAACCAGCCTGGAGCAATCGATCGTCCATCTTGGAGATTGTCCTCCTGGGATTCGCGAAGGTCCCTGAACTAGAGGTCCTGCTCTTCCCATTGTTCCTTGTGGCCTACGTAGTGACCATGGCCGGCAACATCCTCATCATGGCGCTGGTGGTGGCCGATCAGCATCTCCACACCCCCATGTACTTCTTCCTGGGGAACCTGTCCTGCTTGGAGACCTGCTACAGCTCCGCCATCCTGCCCAGGTTGCTGGCCAGTCTTCTGACGGGGGACAGGACCATTTCGGTCCCTGGGTGTATCGTGCAATTTTATTTTTTCGCCTCCTTGGCCGCTACAGAATGTTGCCTCTTGTCCGCGATGTCGTATGACCGGTATTTAGCGGTGTGCCGACCCTTGCACTATGCAGCCCTGATGAATGGCAGGATTTGCCTCCAGCTGGCCGCCGGATCTTGGCTAAGCGGCTGCCTGGCAACTGTCATCATATCGTCCTTGATGTCCCAACTCGCTTTCTGCAGCCACAATGAAATCGACCATTTCTTCTGCGACTTCACCCCACTCATAAAACTGGCCTGTAGTGACACCACCCTGATTCTGGTCCTGGATTTTCTCCTGGCATCTCTTTGCACCCTCTTCCCATTTCTCTTAACCCTGTTGTCCTATGTTTATATCATCCTCACTATCTTGAGAATCCCCTCCACCAGCGGCCGGAAAAAGGCCTTCTCCATCTGCTCCTCCCACCTCATCGTGGTCACGATGTTCTATGGGACCATCATCATTGTCTACATGCTCCCAAAATCCAACACATTGCGGGACCTAAACAAAGTCTTCTCCGTCTTCTATTCGGTCCTGACGCCCCTGATCAACCCCCTTGTCTACAGCCTGAGAAACAAGGAGGTCAAGGAAGCCCTCAACAGGGTAGTCCATAAATGCGTGGCTTTCTCAAGAACTTAGAGGTGCCTCGCCGATTCTTTTTGGTCGAAAACAGACAGGGGTGGGGCAAGATGATTTACTGGGACCTTCAGGGGAAGATTGGATTAAGAAACACAACTCCAGCTATACTTCCGTATGTGTCTGGAGTTGACATACCATAATTCAAGTTTTCTTGTGTCCTCCACAGAGGTCGGTCGACTAGAGAAAATGCCACCATCAACTTTCCTTACTCCTTATGAGGCTCTAGAGTACCAGTGCCGATGAGGGTGCCCGCTGAGTTTGATTTAGCAGGTCTTTGCTAGACTCGCTAAATCAAACTTCAGACGATCATCCGCAGCAGCATCAATCTTCCACATAGTGAAGACATAGCCTGAGTTATAGGCACTAGATCCATACGGTGAAATCTTGCCCCAATTGATGTTAATGATCAGTGGCACCCCCTATCCCTCAATGGCTGTGGGGCTGGATTTGACATTATTTCTTTTTCATCAAATGAAAGATCAGTTGCTAAAATGATGACACGTATCAGATTTCTGTGAGTCCCTCTCTTTTCAGCAGAGGTTTTTAAAGCCTTTTCCTATCCCCCCATGGAGAATATTCTTTTTGAAACTGATTTTAGTGCCGAAAACTATATATTTTTATTATTTTTCCCAATGTTTTCATGACACTCCAAAATTCAAGTGTATGTGTTTTCCAGTTTGGGCTTTGTACTTTAGTCAGTTGTTTTTTTGTTTGCTTGCTTGTGGGTTTTCTTATTTGTTTGTTTGTGGGGGTTTTGTTTGTTTTTTGTTTTGTTTCATTTTTGCTTCCCTCGACTACTCTTTTACCCTAATTTTCAGTGGTAACATGAAAAAAAAGGGCTTTAAAAGTTGAGGAAGCTGGAGGGAGTAAGAGGAGAACAGGATGGAAAAATAAACCGACCACCGTGACAAAACACGAAATGTTAACAAAAAAATCAAATACACGAAAAATCCATTCTTTCTGAATTCTGAAAAATGAAAGACATTTCAAAATGTTCTTTACCATTTTTCAAACACTTTGTTTTAAGCCTTAAATTTCCAGTCTAATTTTGTTCTCTTTTTCTTAGAGTAGTTGCTAAATTCTGATGAGTCACCATAATAGAGAAAACTGAGACATTCTGACAACGTTTCAAGCCAAAGCGATATAAAAGGATCTATAAAAGCAAAGAATAATTTCTGTGCATTTTACCTGTCATATTTTCTCAGTGTTAGCAGATTCTTAATGTTAAATAAAAGTAATGAACACAACAGGCTGCATTTTCATTAACCATGGACCTACAAATTTTATACAGTTTGGCTAACATTTTTTAAGTATGTCCCAAGTGGTTTCCATCAGCTGCTGGGAAAAGTGGGAAAACTTCCTTTATTAGAACACCTAGGAACTTAGGTGTACTCTAGGAACATCTATGATAATTTTCTTAAAAAAAAATTGTCACATCCAAAAATAAAAAACAACCTTCCCCTCCAAAAAAAACCCCAAAGAAGTAACAAAAACAAAGAAGAGGTTGTGACACACCTGTGAGTTGTCCACAGAACACCACTGTTCTGCGGAACGTAGTTTAAGAAACACTGGTTTCATCCCTGATAGATGTCGTGGAATCCTGGAACACTAGAATGGGAAAGGACCTCGAGAGGCCACCGAGTCCTGTTCCCTGCCTTCACAGCAGGACCAAGCACCAGCTACACCATCTCTGATAGATATCATGGAATTGTAGAACACTAGATGCACTTTGAACATGGCAGCTGGCGCGGGGGCTGAAGGTGTGGGGCCCAAGATTACCACGTTTCTCGCCTGCCCGAAGGCTGAGGGTAAGTCAGCACTCCCTCCGGGCCGGTATAAGGAATTCCTGACCTGTTCTTGGCCTAGTCCAACACCTGGGTGCCAAGCATGGCAATCAGTTTCCCGTTGGCCCATGATGTTGATCGTAAGTATCGTTCCTTGAAGGAGAGCGTTGGAGTGAAACCTACCGCGTGAGGAGAAGCGTTGCGGTCCCCAGCATCTTTGTTTTCAATGCCTGGCACAGAACACCCATAAAGGTACATTCTTCAGTCAATAGAGTGCACATGGAAAACATCTGAACCATGTTTGTTGGAATTTAAACTATTTAATGGCTGTCTCAGTCTTCGGCCAATTAACATAAGAATGTCAGAACGGCCAAACTGGGTCAGTCCAATGGTCCATCCAACCCAACATCCTGTCTGCCGACAGTGGCCAAAACCAGGTGCCCCATAGGGAGAGATCACAACAGGGAAACCTCATCTGATCTCTCCCATCACCCACGTCCAAAGAAATAGAGACTAGGGACACCATCCCTTCCCATCCTTGCTAACAGCCGTCGATGGAACTAACTTCCAGGAATCTAACTAGCTCTTTTTGGTACCCTCTTAGGGTGTGTCTAGACTACAGGGTTTTGTTGACAAAAGTCCACTTTTGTAGACAAAACTATACCTGCGTCTACACTGCCACTTTGTTCTGTCAACATAACGTTGAGGTGGGAGGAGCAGGTGGAGAAGGCCTGTTGGCGTGCCTTGGCCAAGGGCATGCGCATGATGGTGATGAGGATGGAGATGTAGGACACGGATATCATCGCTAAGGTGCCGAAGAGGGTGAAGACAGCAAGGGGGTATAGTCACAGAAGAAGTGGTTGATTATGTTGGATTTGCAGAACGAGACTCGGCTGATCAGGACGATAGGTCCATGAAACATCAGTGTTGCGCGGAACGTAGTTTAAGAAACACTGGTCTAGATTATCCCTGATAGATGTCATGGAATCCTAGAACGCTAGCACGGGAAGGGACCTCGAGAGGTCACCGAGTCCAGTCCTCTGCCCTCTCGGCAGGACCCAGCACCATCCTGGACTTTAGAGAGAAACTCTAAAGAAGGGGCATGTGAAACAAATCACCAACTGGATGCACATTGAACATGGCAGCTTGTTTGAGATCCTCGCTTTGGGCAAGGCAGGACTCTCCAGGGGTACGTCTACACTACAGCACTAATTCGAACTAACTTAGTTAATTTGAACTAAGGTAATTTGAATTAGTACATCTAGACCTAAAAACTTATTTGAATTTGCTAATTCGAACTAGCATGTCCACATTGAGTGGACCCTGAACCGAAGTTAAGGCTGGCCGGAACCAGGACTTAGCGTATGGAGCTGCTGCCTTAGGCTAGCCGAGGGCTGTGCTTAAAAGGACCTGACCCCCACCCCGGAGAGACAGTTCTCAGGGTTCCCCGCTTGCTAGTCTACCTCGATGAGGGGCAGCAGAGCAGTACTGTCTTGGAGTGCCCTGAGTGCCCTCATTCGGCACATCACAGCACTTGGCCATCAGCCCGGCTGCACTTGCCACAGGCTGCCATCCGGGGGTGTCAATAGGGGGCTGTCAGGATCCAGGAGGCCCTGCAGAAGAGCTTCCACCCCAAGGAGCCTGCAGAGCCACCCCAGTCCTCCCCATCGGGGGCTCGTGCCCCATTCCTCCCTCACCTCCTTCCACTTCCCCCTCCCTAGCCCCCTTCCTAAGATTTTTTTTTTCCTCAGAGAGGTCGCCTTGTTAGTCTGGATCAGCAAAAGCGACAAGGAGTCCTGTGGCACCTTATAGACGAAGGGTATGTCTACACTACCCTCCTAGTTCGAACAAGGAGGGTAATGTAGGCATACCGCACTTGCAAATGAAGCCCGGGATTTGAATTTCCCGGGCTTCATTTGCATAAGCGGGGAGCCGCCATTTTTAAAACCCCGCTGGTTCGAACCCCGTGCAGCGCGGCTACACGGGGCACGAACTAGGTAGTTCGGACTAGGCTTCCTAGTTCGA